GTGCAGCAATATTGTTTTAAATACATTTCAGAATTGCACAAAAACATTATTACACATAAATTATAACAAATTTGGCAGGCAACATGGGATAAAATATACTAACACATATATTAAACTTGTTGTAAAAACCTACACCTAGCAGGTAGATTTTTTCAACTACATTTGTGATGGTTTTACACGCATACTGGTGCCGGTTATGAGCGTAGAATGCTCAGGATATGTTTGAGTTCTGCTTCCGGTGATTACATTCTTTTGCCTAATTTCTTTCAGTGTGTACTATCTAACGTTTTGCTAATCCCGGTAACCGGGTTCGTTGTATCCTGAACGTATTGACAATGCTAAGTTAACGCATCAAAGTCCATTCTGACATAAGCGTAAACCAGCCCGTAAATACTGTTAACCATCAAGTACTTTTACGTACGAGAAGTCTGCATAAAACGTGAACATAAAAGGTGTAGAATTTAAGTAGTGAGATTATGGCGAGTCTCGCACAATCTATTTTAAATGGCAGCTGCAGCTGAATGTGCGGCTGGGCGGCTGACGGTCTTCGGCTCAACTCGGACGAGCTCGGCAATCTTCGGCTCGACTCAGGGAGGGCTCGGCAGTCTTCGGTTCGGGTTTGTAAAACGTATTCGAAGGTGCTCGGCAGTTACGTCCACTAATTTTATTCAAGCATGTATGTTTGTTTAACTTAGCCATATTAGCTTTTTATAGGCATAGGAAACGTCAAAACATAAATATATTGATTTTTGTACTGTTTTATTAGGAGCTGACTGTGGTGCGTGCGGTGCTGATTGCAGTAAGTGCGGTGTTGAGTGCGGCGCTGGTTGTGGTGCGTGAAGTGCAGATTGCGGTGAGTGCAGTGCTGAATGCAGTGCTGATTGTGCTGCTATGTGTGGTGTGTAGGGTGCTGATAGCCTTGCATGAGGAGCAAGTGGAGCATGCGGAGCAAGTGAAGCGATGGAGCAAGTGGAGCAGGTGGAGCAAGGGTGGCGAACGGATGAGGAGAAAGAGGAGGAGGAGGAGTTGGTTGAACATTTTTTTTGTATATATATTCTCCACATTTGTATGATTTTTTCTGTTTTTTAACTTTAGGGTTTTCTGAATTGAAATGTTATCTTGTGGTTTTTTGCTGGCTGCAGTAAAATTGTTTTTGGCAACAATTTCTGTCCTTAGAAATTATAACCTGGCTTCTGAAACACCTGTGTATCTTATACTTGTGGCTACTCGAACGAGCACTTTATTTTACAATGTTAATCTTTAAGTTGCTCAATTGGTATAAGTCAGCCCTACTTTTCACATTTTCCTTCAGAGAATGTTGCGACACCAGTTCATTCACAGGAAAATTACTGAGGGATGTGCGTTAGAATTTTCCATACTCATAATTAGAGTAGTTTGTAACAACGACTGAACTCACAAAGAGCGCATATAAAATTACATGCGGAGGTATTTGCAGTATAACTGAAGAGGTACCAATTACAAAGTTTACATAATGTAAAAGTTGATAGAAAATTTGATATTTTGCCTGAAACTCTGGTACCAAATTACAAATGACGGTCATTTAATATCCAACTGGAGGTAAATTATTAACTAACTGCTCCCTCTGCTAGACCCCATTCTCCAATGGGACTACGACACTAGAGCTCTAGGTACTACAATCGAGTAAGTGAGTGAAGAGGTTTAAGCAGCTCTTAACATCGAGGTCGTGAGAGCCGATGAAGGTGTAACGAAGTGAGTATTAAGCCGTATTATAATGAAAGAGCAGGGGAAACTGGAGCTCTTTGAGAATGCCCGCCGACCAGCGGTATTGTCCACCACGATTCCCACAAGCAAAAATCCAGCAGCGACCCTGCCGGGGATCGAGCACAGTTTGCCTAGCTGGGAGGAGAGTAGTTTAACCATTACACCACCAAACTTACAATCGGATCACAGTCTTCCAGTCAGAAGATGGAGGACCAGTCACAGAAGTGCTACAACAGTCGCCTGTAACTGAAATATTCCGGTGGAGCTAGACTCACAACAATGGAGCTGCATGTGGAGGCACATTTTTACTAGCTCAGTTGCCATGTTTATCGGGTGATGTATTGAGATACAATCGGGACAGCATAGTGAGCGTATTGCTATTATACGTGCCGTCTCAACGTATGCACATGTGACTACAGAAATGAAGAGTCTGTGTCATTACGCGAGGAACACTGGCGGTCCTTGACACAAATGTGTTATATAGAGAAACATACCCAAAGAAAATACAGACACATGATTAAAAGAGATATATTTATCGTTCAGGATTTAATCGGTTTCAGTGTATCACGATGAATTTCATTTGACAACGCATGTGCTATTGCTGCCACATGTCAGATTTCTGCTGCTCTTGGCTAAGAAGGGGAGACCCCTGAAGGGTGATCTGCACCTCTCTCCATCTCCTGAAACATAAGTCAAACAGTATATTACAGCTGGAGATTTATATTCAAGCATTTATCACCACCAGTCTGATATTGTTTTTGAATCGTTATGTCGTCTAAGTCATTTGAAACTACGGTTTTTATGGAAATCTTAACAGCGTTAATTAGATGTAATTATTTTGAACCTAATTGTGGAAATTTTTTTTTCAAAAAGTAGGTTTTAAAATTTTATTTAAAGTTAGTTGTATCTACGTACTTCCACCTTATCTCTAGTACGAAAATACTTTTATCTGAAAGCTTTGGTTGATTTCAACCTAACTCGCTGCCTATTATTCTTCGCTTTTCGTAACCATAGGAAACCAAAATTTAATATAAGTAGTAGGATTTAGATGAGTTGTGCAGAAGGGTGTGGGGCATCAGAGTGCCGGAGCTGGAGATGCCGTTCGCCATCTTGGAAGCCAGTACCCTTTTGCCATTCCCACTGAACCTTTGACCCTTGACCCCTACCATGACCTTTGACATATGACTCCAAAATAATTCCAAAATATTATTTTGAAAATAATTATTAAGATTATTTAAAAATTATTATTTAAAAAAATTTTTTAATATTCAAAATATGTAAAAAAAAATTTAAAGGTGTTATTAAAAATTATTAATCATTTAAACAAATATTAAAAAAAAATTACACATTACTAAAGGCCGCCATATTGGTAGCCGTCATTTGTTCCGAAGAAAACCATCTTGGTAGGCTCTCATTTACATTCGTCCACCATATTGGTAAGCATCGTGTGTTTGGAAGAGCGCCTTCTTAGTAGGCTCTCAGTTTTGTTCGTCCGCCACGTTGGCAGGTGTCATTTGTTTCGAAGTTTGACTTCACATTCGTTCGGCGCAATCTTGTTATGCTATCACCTTAGTTCGACGCCAATTTGGTAGACATGTTCGATGCCATATTGGTAGGTGACTCGTCCAATTAGACGCATTCGAGGCCATATTGGTAAGCGTAATTTGTTTTTAAAACCTAGATGGTGCTAGTGTATTACTTCAATCACTAGACGACAGTCGTATGTTTATTTTAAGTATAGGTGGTGGTAATTAGTCACTTTCACTCCATCCCTCCAATGTTTATCATTGGCTAATTACACCCAACCTTATGCTTCCCATTGACTAATTACCTCCTCCAATTACTCACTTTTGTCCGATCCAATGCTTCTCACAGGCGAGTATTCTCGGGTGTCTTCGTAAACCTTCGTTCGACGAATCAGATATCTCCACTGGAAATCAGTCAATGATTCTCATTGGCTAATAACCCATGTGACAATTTACCCGACCAATCGATGAGCCACATCTACGTTTCTCATTGGCTAATTACTGGCATTCGTTCGACTGTCGGCGAGCCTCCAGCCACTACAGTCGCGAAGACTATGTCACCTACTATGTCGTTATAATATTCACCCCGAGCCCCTGCCGGGAAAGTTGTTAGAAATGTATGCATGTTGCCTGAGAGGTCATAAAATCCTTCCGGCCAATTTGGCATTCGGAAGGACGTGTTCGCTATAGTGCCTTGGACAAACTGGACGAATTGTCATACCTGCCGAAATAATTTCTTCTGGTCTAAATACATTACGAAATTTCGGCCGTATCTGATTATTTACCGACTTACCTATAGCTGGACGAAGACATACGGTACTGCCTCCTGTGCAAGGATTGTTTCGAGGGCTGCACTACCTCGGTTCCCGACATGCCGCATCGCAGGGGCTGGTGCAATGTCCGATACCGAGCAGCACTCACTGCGCCCTCCCCCGTGCAAGGTTTCTACACACAAGCTGTACCTACATAAGATGTCTCCACGACGCACAGACACTTCAAGTTTCGTTTGAATCAGTGAGGCGGTTTCAGAGATGTGTAATACGGCACTAATATAATTAGGTGACGACCATTTTGAAAATAAGTTTCTGATTTATCAAATTGGGGCCTTATGTGTGTTTATTGCACTACTTCCAAACTGAATTTAGCGGCGATCGTGAGTACATTTGCTGAGATATGTAATGTGACCTTAACAGTTCTGTTGACACAATCTCTCAAAATGACGATCAAAAAAATTTATCAATATGTCTAAAAAACACCCATACCAATTCGATTTTAATCGGCTGATTGCTTCCTGAGATAACACATACTTTCCTTAATCCACACATACTTTCCTTAATCCAAGGCTTTGGTATTGAAAATGATTATAGTCGATTGCTATACATTGTAGAATTTGGAATAGTTATTAAGGCATCTATTATCTGTAGAACTCGCTGTAAATTGATGATAACAACTAGACCTACTTTTTGGCGTACGCTTATATTTCCAAAAAATGTAGAATGATAATGAAAATATCATTACTAAGATACAACGTACATGATAAATAAAAATTTAAACATTCTTTTTTTATAAATTACAGCTGTGTTGTAATGTGGTTAAACTAGAATTTCCAATAAAAGCTAACTGTGAACATACAACTTTTACTACAATTCATAAAATATATTATTGCAATATATATATATTTACGTACTTATGATCAGTGGGTAGTGAGAAAATTATATTAAGTTGCCGGGGGGGGGGCAACCGGCTTTGAACCAGGGACTTCTCGATCTACAGTCGAATGCTCTGCCACCGAATGCTCTGCCACTGAGCTATACCCACGGCTGCAACAGTATGGCAAATGTCTGATATATATCTTATCTTATTCCAAGGTTCATGGTCACAATTTAGAAAGTGCTTATTTCACATATTAAAATGGTGTGTGGTTACTGTATTTTGGCATAGCACTGTTTGAACTACAAATTCGTAGGCTAATCAGTTCAGCAAGCAGTTTCAAAGGGATGATGCAATAGTTTTAATTTAAGAGGTGTCTTATATTTGTTGCTCAATCTAATGCTTACATTGTGAGCCACTGAAGTACCAAATATGATTTAAATCGGTTAAATGGCCCTTGTGATACGGAATTCGATCTGAGTAAAGGGGTCGAACGAATTACCTCCTATGTAATCGACTGCAGGCAGGATCAAATTCAATACACATGAAAATATACCTGCAAACATGAATGCATCCTGACTGATACTTCACGACCGGCTTGTGTCATACAATTGCCGAGACAAGATCGTCAAAATACTGCCATGAGCGCACCTGAGAATATGTAAGTATAACTGTTCACACAATAGAACTGTTTATTCGTGTTCGAGCTTCGTCGGCTTTAAGGTTAGAGAAGTTGCTGAAACTGCATAACGGACGCTCGTATGTCAAGTGGGGCGTGACAATTTACATACTTTACAAGAATGGTCAATGTCACCATTCGGTACAGGCCGATAGCAGGCTGCATAACTTAGCACTACTTAGATATTGAAAATAGAATCCAGTATAGAGGGTGCCAACAGCGCTGCCTGTACGTTAAAAAAAATATAAATAATTGTGGCTTCCACCTGTTGGCTAAATCGACAGCTGGCCTAGTGCCTATATCGACTATTAATACACTAGTGCCACCTAGGTAATTTTTACAAGTAAACATATAAAATCCAAGATGGCGCCCTCCATTAATGTATGAAAAAAATGGCAAACGAAAAACACCAAGGTGGCTGCATACAGTGGAATGAGTATGGGTGAGGGGGTGGAGGCCTGTCAACTAATTAACCAATGAGAAACATTGGTAGGGGAGGGGAATGTTACTATGTGACTGATTGTAGGGTAGTCAGACCTCTGCTGGACATGGTGCTGTGGCGAGCTCCAGAAATGAACATTTTTTAAATAAATGTTTTCATAATAATTTTTTAAATAATTTCTTAACTATACATTTTTTAGGACGAAGAGTAACGTTATCGACATTCCACATGGCGGACAAAATGGCTACCGGAGAAGCGGAATGACAGAGCATGACTAGCTCCAGTGCTCTGGTCCCCCGCCTCCTTGTAACAAACTTCTCGTTTTCCTACTACTAATGGGTTTCAAGTTTTTTATGAAACATGATTAACCAAAAAAATGGTTACGACAAATTAAGTAAAAAACTAGTATTTTAGTATATGCCAATATGTTTTACATACAGTTAGAGCTCTATACAAAAAAATGTTTATTGGTACAGCATTCGTAAATCTGAAGTTCAGCAAATCCTTTTGTGGACCTCATAAGCTTGGTTATAAGACAAAAATTTTTGCATAGTCGTCATGAGACTTTCAGAATCACTAGAAGATAAATAGTTTCCTACCATGTGTAGTGAAATAGATGTAGTCTTGGTTAGGGAAGTTATGATGCGGGTTGGGGAGGGGAAGGGGAGAATAAAGGCGAATAATGTTTATTCCTTTAACTCATATGCAAAGGGAGTCAAATAATTTTTTTAGCAACTCTCTACAGAATTTATATTCAATAATTTAAAATTATTTTTGCATATATTTTCGAATTATTTTGGAATTTATTTTTGGATATTAACTCATTCAGGGTTTGCTATATATAAAAGTAAGGGGTGGAGTTAGCAACTAGAATTTTTGATACTCTTTTTATGAATATCTCAAACATTTTGAGGATGGTATGAAGGTTAAGAGAGGGATGGACCCCCGTGGGAACTCCGCGTCCAAGGTCAAGAAGCGAGGGAGCGATACGGGCGACACTAAAACGTACGCCTAGTGCCTCATCGCTTCTACGCGCAAGGTGTGAAGTGTTTCCGTCGTAACGCTGTACTATGAAAATTAGATTGAAAGTGGGGTTTTATTACACGCGATGCAAGACCACAGACTAAACTACGTCCGTATATTTGAACTTTTCTCTTGCCGCTTAAGGAAACTGCATGGGCAACCTTTAAAATTGCGACATTTACCATTTTCACGATTTTTTTTTTCTCCATTAATACACATGATGTGACAAAAGTAAAAAATGAAATAGGGGCCTAGATAATTGTGTTTTATCTTTTCTTACAAAAAGTCGCATTTGCAGAACATTTATTTACCGAGATACGCGTATTGACGCAAACAACTATTTCACAAAAGAATGCGGAGACCCATCCCACGCTTAAGATTAACACAACTCAATGTAGTTACCAACTAAGGGAACAACAAAATATCAAACTACCTTTATCGAAGTGAAATACAATGCACAAAGAACGAAACTGAAGCTGGCAGTCAACCGGCCCTGGCCGTAAATAATTAGCCTGTGTTAAAGTCACTTTATCGTACTACTTGGATTCACTCCTAGTTTCAAGGTGGACGTATTAAAAACCCAATATCAGGTTTTTATAATTATCTTACCACTGAGCTTATGTCTTATCCTAGTACTTCCTTTGTTGGTGCCTCTTCTGCATTTAGAGATGATTTGAGGGGGCGGCATACACATTGTTATCCTGGGGACAAAGACAATTCCCAAGGTCACGATTCATAGAAATATAAATATAATGAACTGAAGAATTATCCTCTTAAAGAGAAACTAGAGTAAAAAATTGACATATTCAAAATTCTCCAGTTAATTACAAAAATTATTTTCATAGCGATAGTAGTTTAAATTGTCATTTTGTAAAACTAATTTCTTGTATTGAAGTTAACAAGTAAAACAGTGCTATTACTATGGTATAGCAAGGAATGAATTATAATTGCATACAAATTGCTATAAAATGAATAAATGAATCATAACATGTCACAACTGCAAGTTTGTCACCAACCATAGCTTAAAACATTTATGCAACTTCTTTTGCCTGAAGTTGGAATTGATTACACATGTTCAATGTAAAAATTACACAAAGTATTTCAGATGGAAAATTTTGTGTATGTACTAATGTAATAGGACAAACATATTACCACTGCAATACATTTCGCTGTTATCTAATGTTATGTGAATAACTTGTATTGTCACCTTTAATTTGACCTTAGATTACATTATGTGGAATAATAACTTAGTTTCATATCGATAAATTAATTTTGTATAATTAATTAAAGCTTACTCATGAGTTAGTGCCCCAGACTCTGCAATTTTTCCAAGAATTCATACTATAATTTACAAAGAAAGGCGGAGTTTGCGGTGGTGAAATAGACTTTTCTCACCAAGGTGAAATGGGCTCAATTCCCGGTGGTGTCAACCGAATTTTCACTTGTAGGAAACGTGGTGGATCTGTCGTCGGACGGCTGGTTTTCTCGGGGCTATCCCATTTCCTCCGCCTCTGCATTCGCTTGCTGTCCCACTTTCACTTCGTTCCACCCACCGGCGCTCAAGTCTATAAAGGCGTGCAATGCCTGCAGGCGGACAATGCATTACTCGTACCACTCGAGAATGTAGTGCTGTGTAAACAGTTGGTTGTTGACGTTTCCATGCACGAGAATTTTAATACAACGTAATAATTCCATCTAATTTTCTTACAGCGCTGCCAACTCGTCTGGTAGCACTTATGCAGTTAAATGCATGGACATTTGTCAAAGGCCTTTTAAAAAAGTACTGAATTAGCTGTGAATATTCTATCATGCGACTTTTTGTGTATGCATTATTTAGATTACGTGTGTTGCTTCAATATTTTTATTTTTGCGGGGACACACAGCTAACACAGTGACTACACTTAACCTCTGCTGTCGAGTTCCCTGGTTTGATTTCAGACCCAGGTGGGAGGGAGTTTTTCTGATAAGGAATTGCCAAGAGCGACTCTGCCGTGATGTAGAGTTTATTTCGAGTAGCTCGTTATTCTCTTCGTCATCAGTTAGCTCCTGTTCACGGGCACAGAAGTCGCGGGTATCGTGAGGGTTCGCCGGCACGATTTTAACGTCGGCAGCGCCTTGGGCGTGCTATGAGCAAGCGGCTCCTCCTCACAATGATTTTTTATTTCCTGGATATAAATTCTGTTCGCGGTAAACTGAGCAATTTTGAAAGCCCTCCTTAAGATCTACCGGTATTTAGCTTGTGTATTCTTACACCACTTGTGAAATTAACGATGGCGTGGGCATGATCACGTTATTCGTGCGTCGGTCCCAGTGGAACTGTACAAATTATTTGAAAACTAAATATTTTACCAATTTGCTAATTATTATGTTAAAGACAAAACATATAATAAAATAAAAGAAAGATTTTCAGTATTCACAAATGACTACCTACCACTTTTAATTCAACTTTATGACATTGTACTACTATATTCCCTCCGTCTTTGCCAATTTTACTGGACTTGTGCAAATCAGCGTGCCCATTAAAATACACGCAGTCAGGGTGAGCGAGTCAGTGAAGGGCGGCCCTTAACATCGAGGTCTTAGGAGCCTGTGAGGTTGAATTAAGGTAATTATGAAGCATCGTCGGAATGCAAGGCCGAGGAAACGAGAGATCCCCGAGGAAACCTGCCGACCAGCGGCAAGATTCCCACCAAATTCGGGTGTGACCCCGCTGGTAATCGAGCCCTGTTCGCCGTGGTGGGAGGCTATAGGTGTAGCCGTTGCGCCACCGCTGCCCCCATTAGGCAGGAGACTCCCATACCTCCCTGCTACACAGTCGACTAATGTGAATGACCAGACCAACTAACCAGTTGCGAAAAAAAATCCTGAAATATATTCCGCAGTTCATTCAGTCGCGTTATAGAACACAGGCGATTTTTTAATAGATCCGATTAAGGCACTATACTTCAAATCCTACCATGGCCCCTCCTCCTGCACACACTTACATAAATATTATCTCAAACATACTTTTGCACTTGATTGTAC